TCAACATATTTTCCACATGAGTCTCATAATGAAGAACGTCCTTTCAAATGCGATATTTGTAATAAGAGTTTTAAATGGAAAGATTTACTAAGAACCCATCAAGTTATTCATAGTGAAGAACGTTCTTTCAAATGCGATATTTGTAATAAAGGTTTTAAACGGAAACAATTATTACAAAGCCATCAGAAAACTCATAGTGAAGAACGTCCTTTTAAATGCGAAATTTGTAATAAGGGTTTTAATCACAAAGGTGTACTAAAAACCCATCAAAATATTCATAGTGAAGAATCTCCTTTCAAATGCGATATTTGTAAGAAGGGTTTCAAATGGAAATGGCAACTAAAAAGCCATCAAAACATTCATAGTGAAGAACGACCTTTCAAATGCGATATTTGTAATAAGGGTTTCAAATGGAAAGTGCAACTAAAACCCCATCATAAAACTCATACTGATGAACGTAACTATTCTTCTTAGTTATGTAAGAAAAGGTTTATAATCAAAATGTTTGATAAAAAAATGTTTGATAGCTCATAAAATCGTTTATAATGAGAAATTCAACCATACTTGTGATAGGCCTATATGTAACAAATATTTTAAAACAGAACATTATTTGGCACGTCATGAAGTAGTTAATAATCAATTTGATCATACGTAATACGTACAACTTACAACGTGTTGAAGGTGTCACGTGCTACCATCTCACACTCTGGCGTCAAATTGGTAGTTTTGAGTTTTAACTTACGTCCTTTCCTGTCTCACCATGTGATTTGCTAGTCACGTTTGAGTCGAGCATGTGATATCGCTGCACGAAAGTGAAAATGGCTGACGGATACGCAATTTTTATCGCTATAGAAGAATTAGAAAGAGCTGAAAGACGTTGTTTGAAAAGGCAACGAATTTTTACGACCACGAGGAGATGCCATTTCTTATCGTGTCAAGTCAATACTGTACTAATAAAAAAAATTTATTCATAATTGATAAAATTATACAGCAAATTTTTCTAAAACAAAAACGTAGCGACATTGTGGTAGCCCACCTAAAGATACACTATGCGACAGGGAGGTTCTGAGAAGCCTCAAAAAGTTTTTGTCTTTGAATTCTGTCGTTTCTTTTCTACATGTTTTATGTTCTTTCAAATCCTTTCATGTTATTTCTTACATTTGTCACTTTTTCCCTTTTTCTTCTCTTTTTTCTTACCTCTCTTTCTTTTGTCCTACTTCCATTCC